CTCATAGGGGGTCATATGATTGTTGGGTTTTTCTCTGTATCTATGAAGTGCCTTGAGGCGACTTTTGTTGTGATTTGGCGCTATATAAATAAAATTGAATTGAATTGAAAAACTGTCTGAATGTATTTGTTAATATAAACAGACAACCACCTTGTTCGCCCAAATGTCAAACTCCTGAAAGCCTGACCAATTTATCTGATATTATTGGCTAAAACCAGCAATATGCTACTGCTGGCATGTTGTTTGGAACGCCACACTCACACCAAACAGCTGATCTGACCACAGTCGGGCAGAATGTACACGAGTAAATAAATAACTACACATAACAAATTTAGGGAAATCCTTTTGCCATGTCTAAATGGAAAAGAAATACTGGCATATATATTGGAATATGGCATTTTAAAATCACCAAATATTAGCACTAGTTTCAAAAATCCTTTACCTACCTTTGACAGGCAATGTTGTTTGTTCCAGAAACATCTGTAAACTTTAATCATCAGGACTCAACTTTGCTATTATATCAAGCAGCAACTTCTTGCTTACTAAATGGCTGAAAATTAAGCCAATATGGACACATGCTAAGAGTTGCAGTTGTTTTATTGGTCAACAGATGCTGGTCTCAAACAGTAAGTCAATCCCCATAGACTATAATGTAACAATGTCCAACTCTGCAGCATTGAAAATGGCACAGGAAATGGATTTAGCTGTGACAGATCATTTCTACTTCATAACAGCTGTACAGGGGGTGAATGTTTTGGAGGCTAAGGCCAACCTTCATACAAAGTCTTTGGGTTAAACTCGCAGCATCCCATGACCACAAACCAACAGGAGAGCTGCCCTTCTTCTAAAGATTTATTTTTGCCATTTATCCTTTAGTAGATAAGATACAGGACAGACAAGAAAGCAGAAAGGGAGCATGGGGGAATGACACACAAGCAATGTGGCAGGTATATTGTTGGTATATTGGTCACCAGCTCAACCAGATGAACTGAGATCTAAACTGAACTTAAGACGGCTGAAGACTTTTAAAAGGTGTTTTAATAAAAGATAATTCACAATTAAGACATTCTAGGCCTTTCTGAAGATGTGCAGACACCCTGCATCATGTCTAACAGTAATTTCTAATGTTGTTCCAATATGTTACCAAAATATATTTCTGAGCGCAATTTGCAGTGTTAAAAGATGACAAAACAGTAGCTTAACAGCTTGAACGAATACTTCAACATTTTGAGTGATGTGCTTATTTGCCTAGAGTTAGATGAAAAAAACAGCTAGCATGTATAAAGATAACAACATCTCCATATAGGCACTCAAAGCTCACTGAAGAATATGCTGTCTTGTTTGACTTCGGTGTGCTCAAAGAGTAAGAATAAAAAGTTGGGACTTTACAGAATGTGATTTGTGCACTAATTCCTCGGGTGACCACATCATAGCTGCGTATCTGCTAACCTCACTGTAATTACAAATACTTGTTTTTACTTTAACTGTTCTAAGTCTTAGTGAAAAGCCAAGCAACTCAGATTTACTCCTCAGACTTGAGCATCATCAAGTTCATAGAACAAAGGCAATCAAGTGTTTTCGCCAGAACTGTTCACATCATTTTGAAAAAAGGTGGTGTACAGTCATGTAATAAAAGCTAAATCTACATATTATGTAAGAGAAGGATTTTTCAATGTAAATGTGAAGTCATTTGTCCTTGATGAATGTTTAAAGAAGCAGAGAAGCAGCAGTGTAACTCCTGGGTACAAAGAAGTATCACAGCACTGTCTCATGTCACGTGTTCATGTGACACATGTGCAGCTTGGTAAGAACAAGCCAGTCAGAGAGGGAGGGAATGAGATCTCTCTGGTCCATAGTTCAGAGCTCTCTGATTAGGTTACTCTATACAAGCACACAACACAGTGCACAGTTTATTTTAGGAGTCGTCCTTATGCTTGTTGCCTGGCAGACCGAACAGATCGCAACACACTGTGCTTTCAGTGACACTCACTGGATTTTTGGAAAGCTATTGCAAATCAGTTGAGAACAAGAGCAACACTACTCAAGCTGTTAGTCTCACAACAGATGCAATTACATGTATAGCATGTGGCTGCTGTACTTACAGTGTTTCCTAAATTCTTCAGTCCCACCAGGCCTTGGGCGCTCTTTGAATTCTGAAAATATAAATAAATAAATATCAAATTTAAAAACAAAACAAAACACCATTTTCAGATCATATGTACAGTCTTTTGATCAGACCAGTGAGGGCTGGTGACTCCCAACCACCACTGACAGTACTAAAATGTTTCATTTTATTCCTGAAGCAAAAACACTTGAAGAGCACTCCATGTAGCGGTTTGAATGAATGAACTGAAGCATTCAGCTTTTTCTGGTAGTGTTTAGCCTTCAGGAATCTCCAAACAGAAGATTCCCATTCCCAGCATCAACGTTATATCTCGTGTCACTGTCCATGCTGCATAAGAAATACTAGTCAGTTAAATTAATAATTTGTAGTGCATTAAAGTACAACACCAGTTAACTATTGGTCACAGCCAGCTGTTTTCAGAAATAACACTACTCAACCAAATCTAACAAAGTCCTTCTAGCTTAGTGTGGAGCTTTGTCTGCACTGGGTTAGAATGGAATGGAACAGTTTACAGTGCAAAGGCCTTAATAGTGACTAACAGGAAAGTCTTAGTGTGTGTCAGACTTTAAAAATGAAAGCCCACAGTTATACACCGGATGTTTTCAGGATGACTTATGTTAAATTTTCATAACCAAAGTGTCCGGTTCCTTCTTGGAATACCAATGTTATTTAAAACATGCTGAATTCTCAAAAATAAAAGCCTCCACTGGTTGGTGGTTGTGAAATGTTAGATTTTTAAAATAGTCCAAGGAATTTGTCAGTATCCTTTGGTGTGTCCTTTTTGCACTAGACACCATTATCACATGCTGTAACTGTATGAGTTTCAACATAAAAGTTACCATTTATGTATAGGCATTTAGCAATACTTTACAGAGTATTAGAATTTTAAAGATAAAACCAGGTAAGTAAAGCCCAAAAGGTTTATTCTGTTTATCTGGACGTAGCATTTTCAATGGGTATCGTCGTTTCTGTCACTTGGAAGAGTGATGAAATGTTTCTCCCATTGAAAAGGCTAAGTCCAGATGAACTGAATCAACCTTTTGGGATTTACTTACCTGGATGATTGAGCATGCATCAAGACACTTTCTTTGAAAACTTCTCTAATTGCTGGAATTGTTTATTTATGCAATCTTGAGTCAGCATCTTATCTTCAGCTTCTCTCAGCTAGCTGATTTTGCTAAAGATTTTTAGCCGCGAGTAGCAGACAAAGGCCAACAACAACAACAATAATCCAGGTGCACTCTCTCCAGAACCTGTGTGGTCTAGACATGCAATGTCTTAACTAATGTGTTACCGAATGCTGGACAGGTGTGTATGTGTGTGGATTTTAACCTTTAAGGACAGAAGGACTGAAGCCCTGCTAATCTGACATCTTGTGGGTGCACTATTATGCATGTGTCACGGACCCGGCTCTGGGGACTTGGGGTCCGTGAGCAGTGGGGGACTATGACTGTTGTTGTTGTTGTTATTATTATTATTATTATTAGGTGTGTTGTCTGCACTGCCCCTGTGCACATCTGTGTGTAGGCAGGTATGTGTGTGTATTGCCTATCTGCTGTGGCCAAGTTACAGGCACCTTCAGCCCTGGGGGCGTGGCCTAACTTGAGGGCTGGCCACACCCGAAGTCCTGGTCGCACACCTGCTCCTCATCTAGGCTCGTCGGGGGAGCTATTTAGATGAGCGATGGAGCTTCCACCGATGCGGGATTATTGCGTTGGACTACACGTCAGTCTTCTAGCATAGTCAAGTTTGAGTGTATGCCTGCTGGGACAAGTGTGTAACGGCTGCCTCTATTGTTTTCCCCTCAGGAGGAGTGTGGGACAAGAAGGAGCAGTGAGCACGGGGAGTGCAGGGACACTGGAGCAGAGAGCACTACACGGGGACTTTAGGGAAGAAGACACTACACGGGAGTCTGGGAAACTGGGGATTCATTGTTGTTTACTTCACCACCTTGTAAATAAACACTGTTGCACTGAAGAGTCCGGCGTTTGGGTCCTATTTCCCCATCTCCCCACAGTCTGCCAGCCAGACCGTGACAGCATGGTGGATTTTTGAAACATTTCAGCAATTTTTAAATATGATGTAAGAATGCAATTAACAGTTTGAAATGGAACTTAAGTTTGAACACATAAGATTTAATACCATCTGTTACACCGTGCTGAATGCTGACTGTTTCCAGTACTTTTCTTGCTTTTAGATGAGTTAAAATGGCATTTAGATTTATTAGTAAATGTAAAAAAAAAATTAAAAAAAAAGAAATCAATCAATGAGGAACCACACACACATATACACACCCACAGAATGTGATTCTTTTTTTTACTGAATCGAATGGGTGAAAATCCTTACATAACTGAATATGTATCCATTAATCTGGCAGTCTTTCTGCTGAATAAGCCGGGATTGTGAGCTACTTCGCCACTGCCAACAGTGCTGATGTGTTTGAGGCTGAATTTGCACTTTAATGATATCCTCATGAATCTAGAGATTCATCTTGCGCTGTGTCCCTCTAAGAATGCCATATAGGAGGCATTTCCTGGTGAGCATTATCTGTAGACAGAAGCTTGTTTTTGTGATTTCACAGCTGCTTCCTCTCTGGGTAATCACTCCCAGATGGCTGAGATCTGATCAACAACAGCAAAGTCACTGTACCTCACCGAGTTTAATTCATACTGTAACTTTCACTGTTCTTTAGGCAGGAAACTATGAAAAAGACACATTTAAGCTCAGTGAAACACAGCAGATGGCACGGCATATTATCATGTTTTCAGAATCTTAAAATGGTCTGAAATGCTTTAAAGAACTTATGTCATCACTCGCTGCAGTTCAATTTCATTACATAAGATTAGTGGTTATATAATAGTGTAACCAGAGGAAGAACAAACAAAGAAGACGGGGGTGGATAAGGAATGCACTGGTGCCCTTGGCTAAAAGGCAGAAGCATTTTTACAAAGACGCGTAGGACTGAATTCACTGTGCATAATGCTCCATCAACCAGAGTGCTGCTGTACTAATCGTGTTTATAGTCACTGTGAAAACACACTCACTAAAAACGTGTGGGTAAACTTGTGTTTTTAGGCACTGAGAGTGTCGGCAGACTGACATCAGTCACCTGAGCTCACTGTTTTGTTCGGCTCATTTTAAAAATTTATATGGCACATTTGATTACAACAGCAACCTGCTGTACAGAATTACAAAATAACTAGTACCGAATAACTCTCATACTGTATTAAAAGACAGTGAATACAAATGTGTTTTAGGTTTGAAAAGACTAACAGTAGGAGGCTGTCTGATGTGTAGGGGTAGATTATGCCACAGTTTAGGCGAGGGGTCTGCAACCTGCGGCGCTTTTGTCCTTATACTGCGGCACCGGGTGGTTTGGAAAAATAAATTAGAAGTATTTAGCTGAAGTGTATTTTATTTGTGTTTAGTTCTTTTTTTAACTTGTAGTTCTAAACTGGAAGATTATTGTGATATTGAAATATAAAAATAAAATTATATTTTCTTATTTTTCATTGCTCAAAATAAGCGGCACACTCGCGGAAGCTGGTGTACCCACCGAAACGCCAGCATTTATTGAGACTTTCAACTCCAGGTAGGCCAATTATGGATCTTCGGATCCACATTATGTCAGCAGCTATTCTCCACCGTGAACTATGTTAAAAACAAACACGCCTCACAGATGACAGCTTACAGTCCTGCGTAAAGATGAAAGTCACTTCGTACAGCCCCGATTTGCAGACGCTGTGTGCAGAGGTTCAGGAGCAGAAGTTCCATTGTAAACATACCACGGCAGACCCGCTGCTTTTCAACATTTCTTTATTGACCACTTTTCACACAGGGTTGCTGTACGCATACAGCCGGCTGTACCTTTTCAGCTCACAGCCCGACAACACAACAGCAGAGAGAGCACAGACTTTAAGGCGCCGAGGTGTGATTGCGGGTGCCGCTCAGGTGCGTCCGACTCCCATGCAGCGGCACTGCAGACCACGCCCCGCCACACACATTAACCAGGTAAAATACATATTTAGGCAGAATTTTGCAAATATCTTTTTTTTTTTTAGCAGCATAGTGCTTTTTTTCCAATTATTTTTTAAAAGTCAGGTCAAGGCTCCAAAAGCCCAAAGGCGATATAAGGGTGGCGGCTCACAACAGTTTTTGTTTGCTACATGGATCATTTTAGTTCAGCTGGGTGTCTTTCCTTTTGTTATATTTCTTTAAGAGTTCAAAATGTGTTAATTACATAAATAAAATGTAATTTTCTCTGTAGCACTTCATGGATTTCATAAGCAACACACCTTAGTTGCTCTGTGGATTCTTTTAAAAAGCAGTTAAAAACTTTTCTGTTCAAACAAGCCTTTTGTTGATCTACGTATTTTATATTCTTTACATTATTTACATTTGATCTTTTACATTGTGTATAATGTCTATTGATTGTATTGTTTACAGCGCTTTGTGAATGCCTGTCTGTTAAAAGCGCTTAATAAATAAAAACATGTTACTACGTTATAGGGCTGGGCCATATTATACCGTTCACGGTAATACCGGTATAATGTTAGGAACGATAGGAAAATGAAATATCACGATAGAATGGATGAGTAAAACGCGCATGCGCAGTGCCTTTGTTTTCATACGCACATGGCCGATTGTTGAGTGAAACAGAATGAACCAGAATTGGTTTGTAAAAATGGTGCAACTTCAGTGATGTGGAACTGGTTTGGTGTTTGTCCGTCAGATACACTGACAAAGCACATTTTTTTGCAGAACATGCAAGCGGCCGTTGTTATTGTCGTATTTGTCGGACTAAGATGCTCTTAAATCTGGGAGTAATCTGGGTCCTAAACTCCGTATGCTTCAGGTCAAACAACACTGCAGCATCACTGAGAGTTAAAAACTGTCTAAATTCTTTCATCTTTAATAAAACGATCAGCATTGCTGCTTTACCAGGTGTAACTATGAAGTTTAACTTCCAGGCATCCATGAAAACAAAATGTATTACATTTAACGGAGTTAGAAGTAGCAGGAAGCTAG